GTGTATGTGTGTATTGCTGCATGTAGATAAGTGCATCCATGTCATGCAATGCCTACGGAGGTCAAAAGAGGCTGTCGGATCCCCTGGGACTGGAGTTACAGACAGCTGTTAGCTGCCTTGTGGGTGTTGGGATTTGAACCTGGATCTTCTGCAAGAACAGCCAGTGTTCTTATCCGCTGAGCCATCTCTCCAGCCCAGCAGTGTACTTTTATATTGCAATGGAGTGAAGAAAATTTAAGTAGTAATAAGCATGGGCCTGATGATAGTTGTACTACATATCCGGGGTTAGGGGAAACAGTGATGGAGACAGTCACTTGCCAACTGAGGCTGCTTTTAAGTTGCATCATAACAGTACATCAGAGCCATAGTAGCTACAGTCTCAGGAAAGGGCAGATACACCCAGCCCACTCCAGTGCTGGAGATGGAATAGGCTGATGCTTGAGTCTATCCTGACACAAGGCTCTACCTAATGCCAGGGTCTGCCTAGAGGTTCCATGTGTAAATTCTGGCTTATGTGCGCAGACTTCAGTTTCTACTGGGCACTATGTGTCATGGCAATATGCCTGGGACTGGGCTCCACAGAAAGCCCTGCCCCCCCAGAGCAGAGCCTTACTCCCTTCTCTGCTGTCCAAGGGTGTGGGGCAAAGAAGACAGGCACCATTTGGTTTAACAGATCCAACAGCTCCATCCGCAGGTACTGGCCTGGGCATTTAGGGTTTGTGTGACTTTGCCCAGCATAAGATTTCACTGCGGCAGTCCTGGTACTGGGTCAGTCATAGGCCTAGATTTGCCTTCATCTCACTCCCCCAAATGGGAAACCTCTCATTCATTCTGGGCTACTTTAAAATTGAATGCAAGCTTTGCACATTTCTGATATGAATGGGCGACCAAGTACCTCCCTCTTGTCTTCTACATCACTACTTTAATTTCTTATACTTATTGCACACACCTTGGTTTCTCACCTGATTTCTTTAGTTCTTGTCAAGATAGTTTGGCACCTGAATAGCTTGTTCACCTTGATGTGCACTGAGGTGGGAGGTGAGCTCAAGAATCATATTCAGTCACCACCTTTCTCAGCGTTTGAGATGAGTCTTAAAGAGTTATTCATTGGCCTGACATGTGATGGTTTTTTTCGTGGAAAATGTTCCATTTATGCTAGAGAAGGCTGATTTTTCTGCTGCTGCTGGATGTAATGGTATATTTATGGCTGTTACAACCATTTAGTCTATAATGTCTGTAAGTCCACTGTTTCCATGTTGATCTGATTTTTATTGAAGGGAAGAGGGGTCTACATTTTCTATCCATTGTTGAATGTGAAGTATTAAAGTGCCCAACTATTATTGTATTGCTTTATATCTGTTCTTTCAGAACTGTGAATATTTGTAATATTATTAGGTGCTCTGATGCACACTACATCAACAATTATTGAATTCTCTTGATTGACTTATTCGTCATCATATCATGATCTTTATGTCATTTTGTTGCTATTGACATCAGACTATTTGTTATAATAAAGTGAGTCTCATGCACAGAATATTTTTGGATCTTGAAGTGCAGGGAAGGGGATGGGGTGTTTGATCATTTTTATTTCAGACACTGTGCATCATTTGATTAGTGAATTTATCCATTTACATAATGAATGGTATGTAGTGACTTGTTAGAATTTTTAATTATTTAATAATTATTTTGTAATTCTTTTGTTTTTCCAATATTTCCATCTTCCCTTATGATTTTGTAAATCTTACAGTGGTTTGTTTTGATTCCCTTATTTTGATCTTTGTGTGTATACTGGAGGGGTTTTTCCCTTTGGTTAACCATGAGGTTTACATAAAATTAGAACATTCTATTTTAAGCTAATAATGATTTAAATTCAGAAGCATACAAAACTATTAATATTAGATGTTTATGGGGTTTTTATATAGTATTTATTTGAATTTCTCCCTCCCTCTTTCCTGCTCCTTCCATCCTTTCCTCCCACCTCTCCTTCCTTCCTTCTGTCTTCCTCTGCATCCATTCTTCCCTGTCTCCTCCTCCCTCCCTTTTTCCCTCCCTCCTTCCTTTCCCCTTCTTCTGAAACTCCCATAATTCATATATTCCTATATCTGATAATATCATATTAATCCTGGTGCTTCTTCATTCTTTTTCATGTATTTTTTAACCTTTAATATAAACTAAATTACCCAGAGCATCTTTGATCTCACCAATGGTTTCTTCTGCAGAACTGAGTCCATTACTGAAGGAACTTGGGTTTTTCAGTCCTGCCTTTGCCTTCAGCTCTGGAATTTCAGTTTCATTCTGCTGCACAGTTTCTGTTTCTTTACTAAACCTCTAATTCATTGTGCAGTCTTTTTCTAATTTTATTTCATCTTTTTATAAACTTTTTAATTTTTATTCTTTTTTAATAATTTATTTTATTTTTATTTTTACAAGTGATTTGATTGCTGGTATGTTAACTGGTATGTATGAAGTGTCCATGAAAGCCAAAAGAGGATGGCAAATTATTTTTATTAAGTGTTTTATCAACACGTGAAGAATGCAAAATATCTGACCAGGCAAGTAAGTATTTTCCTTACCATTCCTTTGGTGTTATAAATGTAAGCTCTCCCTAGAAAAAGGTAACTCCAGATTTACAAGCCTTATCTACTTACCACTAATGTCCACTTTAATAGTTGATTCAAATTAATAGTGTTTTGTTAAACACTAAATGGGAAAAAGTGAGCAACAACAAACACTGTAAAGGTACATGTTAGCAATTAAAGTGTTCAGTATTTAGTGAACACAATACTTCAGAGGTTATCTAAACTAGAAGTCAAGGCTTCAAAACAGTAGTTAATATGGAATGCTGGATAATGGACACAAACTTGAAAACAACTTTTTTTTTTTGAAAACAACTTTTTAACAAGCCCTTTTTGTATAAAACAAAGATATTTTTAATGGAAATATATAAACTAAAAATTATTCCAAGATACTTATTCTTATTTCCCATGAACTACAATTATACTTTTTAGTATAGTATTTCAGAAAGGCTTTTAATGAAGTCATTCAAGTATAATAAGCCCAGAGACTCCTGGGGCTGTAATTACCTGGCTTGTTTTGAATCAGGCTGTCTGTGCTTAGTCTAGTATTTTAATAAGGTCTACAAGGATTAGAAACAGCCAACATATGAATTATGAAACCCACTGTCAACCTGAACAAAGGAAGGGAAAAAAGACCAACTCGTGCCTTAGACTATCACTACAAAATGATGGCATATTATTCGGCAATAGATGGTGTATTTTTGAAAACCAGGAGATAGAGGGTTCAACTAAGAAAGATTTTGTCAGCATACATTTCAACATGTGAACCTTGCCATCAGAAATGTGAAGGTGTTCATTTGTGATAACCAACAAAGTGGAGAATGTATCATTGAACTATTTTGATAAATGTCACAGGTAGTAAAAACTGTGATCCTTAAGCTTAGCTATTTCTGAAACAGGTTTGTTTTCCCCTCAGAAATTTGCCATACATATATATCTGATGTTTTTCCATCATTGGTATGCGATTTTACCAACTATTTTGCATTTCACTTTATAAACTGTCTGATCTCATGACTATGTTTCTGACACTAAACTCTTAAGATGTTTTTAGGAATCTGAATTCGGGGGATGGAGTGATGACTCAGCAGTTAAGAGCACTGACTGCTCTTGCAGAGGACCCGGGTTTGGTTCCCAGCCTCCAAATGGCAGCTACAACAATCTACAACTACAGATCCAGGAGATCCCACACCCTCTTCTGACCTCTGGGGGCATTGCATGACATGGGTGCATTTACACACATGTATGCAATACATTCATACACGTAAAATAAAAAATAACAAAGCATTTTTAAGAAAAAGAATCAATTCAGTAGAGATAAAGAAAACAATCAAGGAAATAATTTTCATTTTGATCCAGAGGCAAATCCAAATCTCACACTTTAAGGCAGTTTTCTCCTAAGAAAAGAAGCTAGCCCTCCCACTGATATAATGGCTTACTCATAGATGGAAGCTATCTGATGTATCCGACAAAGCAATCTATCTCAAAGGCAGTGAAAAGGTGCTCATTACAGAGTCGGAAGGGGAGGGGCCCTGGTTGTCTGTTGCAACTATTACATAGCACTAGAAGTATCACTTTGGATAAACATTAAAGTGTATTATATGCACCCAACTTCTTTTCCTACATTTCCCTTCATTTCCTACCATTCTTCCCACACTATTTTACTTCCTGCTGCCAGAGTGTCAGCTCATGAATCACGTGGCTTTAGCATTTATGCTTTGGTCAAGACCTATGAAATGTATTGTTGCACGATCCATGTGAGTTTAGGCCTCTAGAAGGAGTCATTTCAGAGATCCCCATACTCTTCAGAAGTCCAGGCCCTGGTACAAAGTTAGCCATGGTCTGGTCAGTGACTGCAGGGCTCTGGGTCAAAGACTCTACTACAGCATCAGTGGAGTCAGAATGTCTATAGGACTGTATGTGCAAGTGAGTCTGATACCATTAAATGTACACAAAGGTATTTTGGGTCACAAAATAGAAATGACAGCCAGGAAAATTCTCAAAACTATTCTAAAGCACCAAAATATCAACTGCCTGAACCTAAATATTGGTCAACTGGCTAAGTGAGGCTCTTGGAGATAAGTGTAAAGAAACTTTGAGTTACCAGTCTAAGGCCAAAAGTCATTCTTAAAAGAAGGCATGGAGACTTTATGTCATTTCCTCACTTAGAATGTAAAATGCTTTATAATTTTAAAAATACCTATGGGATTAGTAATTGTCATTGGATGGAAAACTATTTGTCTATAGTCAGCTTCAACAGTAAAAATGCAAACTTTGGAGACAAAAGTGTAAAGAGTTATCAAGTTCATTATACATACAGGGTTAATTTTACAGTGGACGTGTAATAAAAAGTAATGACTATTTAATAGATTAAAAAACAACTTAGAAAGCTTTTGCCTTTTACCCAAAATTAAGCATGCTATGAAGTATGCTTTTAAACTGGTTTTATTATTTTTAATGAACTGTTTTTAACATATTACAAATCTTCAGACTGTTACAGTTTCCAACAGTAAGTACAGCAGTAAATACAGAGACATGAGCTCTCTCTGATGAAAGAATACAAAAGATAGAAACACCCAGGAACAAGATGGCAACACTAGACCTGAAGTGGAAATCAACAGTCAAATCTCTCTATGATGTCAATACACACAAAAAAAATGAGTAACTCAGTCACAGAAATAAATATGTATTTTGAGTTTCACCTCTCTTGGAAGTTTGGAGGGACATTAGTTGACCCAAAGCTCTCTAAAATTCTATAATATGTATTAATACCAGAGGATCCAAACACACAGAATGAGCTGACAGTGATTGCCAAAGCAAAGAAGTGCTTTTATTCCTCAACATTCATGATCTTTGTGGTATTCTGTGAATTATAAAAGGGCATGATCTCTATACAGCTACAGAAAGTCATAAAAATGGGTTTTATAAAGTGCCAAGACCATATGTATTCAAAACTGCATATAGCTGTGCTTTATTAAATGAATCCATCAGTTAATTGATAGTTTTGCCTTCAAGATATATCCAAACTATGTACAAAGGATCCACAAATGTCAACAATTTGTAACCAAAATTCTCTATATCTGCAAAAATCTGCATTGGCTTTCAATTTAAAAATTTAAGAAATTAGTGAATATTGTTGGTTTATCATTTGGGTTAAGAAAAAGTAGGTGGCTTCAGCTTTTTAACAGGATTGTGAACCACTCATAAATTGAGAATTCACACTCTTGATTAGAAAAGATAAATTGTCTAAAATTTCCAATTGAAAACAGCATGTGCAGTGGTTTTTTTAAAAAAACAAACAAAAGAATTGTGAATTAAAGTTCTACAAAAACCCTTAGGATACACCACCCCATTTCCCCTTAAAGGAGGAGGACTAAATAACTGGCATACTTGGGCGGAGCACTCATCTATCTATGTATATTTCATTGCCCATCTGAGAGAAGAAGTAAATATCTTTAAAGGTGGAGAACATACTCTTAGAGTGTAGAGAAAGTCCTAGCCTCATTCAACATAAACAATTTATCAGTATATAGTGGATTCAAAGCAGAGTAAACACACAAAAGAAAATGTTCCATGCAAAATTCATTGTTCCAACATGAAACACTAGATCTATATTTTCAGTAACTGCACATCTGTTCAATTTAGCTGACAAAATGTACACTGAGGAAAGATGTTAGTATATCCTTCTAAATGCAAGTCTGAATCAAAGGCACTTCCACAGAGCACTACCTCCTTACACTTCTCCAAATTATTTTCATTCACACTGTTTATAATCTATCTTTCTGTATAAGACCAATAAAAAGCCTGCTCTAATTGTGAGCCTTATCACTACCCACAAAAAAGTAAGCCTATAGGTTACCTCAATTATGTATCTCTTCTATGAACTGGGGTAATATATAGCAGACATGGGCATAGGTCTTTTAATTCTTTGGGTTAAAAACAGAAAGCTAGGAGCGGTATACAGTTGAGATGCTTCAGAAGTGACCACAGGAATACACTGGCTGAAGTCTAGTGTGTGAAGGGAAAAAAGCTGCTGTCTTTCATTGTACATCTATCTACAGTTTCACAAAGTTCAGGTGTCTGTCTTGGTTTTCTCAATTTTGTTTAAGTGGCTTGAATCTCTGCTGCTCGTATGTCGAATGGTGGCAGATGAAAAATAAAGGCATTTTTCCCCTCTAGACAAAGGGAAACCTGCTACAGACCTGGGTCCTCATGGAAGTTTTAAGTAAAATGAGATGGGTTGATTGAAAGATTTTTATTTTTAGGACATAAATGATGTTTCAAAGTTGAAGACATAATTAAAAATAGCAATTGAGTTCACACTGGGGAAAAGACAGGCAGCAATGCACACCACCAAAGCTAAAAATACACCCGCAAAGGGCACAAGTAATTTAAGGAAAGGCTTTCCCTTGAAATTCAAACTTTTCTTCTCAAACATCTTTTAAGTACCAACATTTAGAAACACAACTCATATCCTGAAGGATTTTGAGCCTCAAAAAAATGGCTTTGCTTTTCACACTCATCCACATGAAATGTTTTTATCTCTTTTACCTTTACTTAGCCTATTAATTTTTTCATGTTTGCAAGAAATTTGTGCATCTTTCAAGTTTGATAGTCTCTAAATGACTGAATTTGGCTTTGGGAGATACCAGAAATTTATTAAAACTGATTTTAGCCTAGGTGGATCCACAGTGAACCTTAAAGTCATAGCTCCCTCACCGCTGACAACCACTTCATTTGAAAATAAAAATACAGTATCAGAGCATTCATTTTTCAAATTTCTGTATAACAAATCATCATCGTATTTACTCTGTGAAGTTGTATCCCAAAATAAGCAGAGCTGGTCTTCCTCTCGGAGGAATGGGGGCTTCCTTGGCATTTTACAGAAGCGCTGGATTTGCCTTTGGGATGACACAATACACAAGCCATTTGTTTCCAAAAGGAAAACGCTATTTGGTCTTTAACATAACACCATTCCAAACATTTATCAGGTTGTTTTTAAGGATAGGCAGCAAAGGACATCATAGTAATGTTTCACAAGGATGAAGCGTGATGAAGACAGATGCATTTCTAAATGCTCCATGAGACAGTCATCAGGGCAGAGGCAAGGTTTGGGGAACAACTTTAGTATACATTTTACTACCTTATTCTTAAAAGATTCAGTACCAAATTGACGAACTGAGCAACATTTTCAGGTAACATTTTTACATTATTTAACATTTTGAAAACTTGAATGCCTTCATCACTCAAAAATAACAAATCAGAAAAGGCATTTTTGATTTTTGAATCAATATTTTACCATTTACTCTGCTTGAGATCTGTCCAGTGCCCACGAGATCGTTCAGTCTCAATCTACTACAGAGTTCATACTGCAATTTACAAGAAGCAAGAATACACAGCATCAGACTGCAGAAAGACACACATGGCCCTCAGACTTAGTTTATGGGAATCAGTGGGCGTTCCTCTCGTTTCTTCCAGATGTTTGTCTTGCTGTCTCTTTTGGCTAGTGGTGGTGGTCGGCCCCTTTTTTTAGTAGGAGATGTGTTGGCTTCAAAATCTTCCACAGTGCTTTTCCTTCCTGGGGACTCTTCCCTGGGGTGCTCTATAATAACTCCGCTACCTCCATCTAAGATGTGTCTCAATGCTGAGTCCTCGGGGGAGCAGACCGTGGTTCCACTCTCACTGCTGCTCAGGTCTAAATCTTCCAGGTAAAGGATCTTGGGTTGATGCATGCTTTTGATGAATGTCTTCTCCCTCTCCAGCTTTCTACTTGAATGATGCTCATTCATGTCCACTCCAGAGTCAAGACTTGTATCATTGCTCTGGGTTCTCTTGCCCTTTTTCAGGTCTATAAAGGAGTGCCTCACTTGTGCCACAGGCTTTCCATCAAGAGACACAAACCACGCCCGGGGATGCGGGGAGGGCTTGCCTTTGGACAGCTCCAGGAGGGTCTGTTCTGAAATTCCTTGAAGTTCTGATGAAAATGGAGTCATTACGACAGCTTCATTCAGCGTTCCAGGAACAGAGACGGACTCCAGCAAACTGTTGGAATATCGGCTCCAGTCTGAAGTCTGGGATGGCAAGCTCTGCTGACCTTCAAGTACAATGTCCTCTTCTCTGGCAACTGGGGCCTGGGCATGAGAATGCATTGGCATTTTGGGCAATGTCTGTGTGAAATTCTCTCTGTTTACGGGTTCCATCAATTGGCCATAGACTAACTGTCCCTTTCTTGGCAAAGTGGCTGACTTAGCAGCATGTAACTGCTCTGGTGTGGAGAAAAGGTCAGATGTCTGAAGGATGGCTATGGGCTGGCTGTAGATATGCATAAGCTGCTCAGGAATACGGGAACGCCCAAACATCTCCTCACTTCCTGTGAGGTACCTCTTTTCCTCTTGAGCATCACCTGGCGAGGGAGATAAATTGGTATTAATATGTTTAGGCTGTTTGGTTCCTACACTTGGCTCCAAAGACTCGGTTGGATTTCTTGAGTAATTATTGTGATTGACTGACAGAAAGGAAACATCTTCATTGTAGATTTTAAAATTGTCCCGAGTTTTCACCATGGAAGCTCTTTCTTCTGCCTCCACCTTTGTGGTTTCCTTTTTCTGGGGGCTGTAGGAGGTTGTTTTGGTGTTAAATAACTGTGTCTTGTCCTCAGCTTTTAATGCAACTTTGACTGAACTGATGTGATTTATGTGTGTTGTTGATGTTGTCTGGTCTCTCTTAAGTATCTCGAGTTTAGTGATATTTCTTTCTCTTTTCTGTGGTGTCCCACACTTATCCCTACAGTAGGAAAAGAAAGGCAAAAAATAAGGTTGTTTTTTAAAAAATAATCTCAAAATGCATGCACGGGCCTGCACACATACATACACACACACACACACACACACACACACACATTTGTATCCTGTTTTTATTCCAAATCTATGTATTTTAAAGGCTAAAAATTTTATTTCTTTTTAAAGTATCTTTTATTTTTATTTATGTATATGTGTCTCTGTTTGTATATGCCATATGTGTGCAGGTACCTGAGGAGGTTAGAAGAGGACATCAGATCCTTTAGAGCTGAAGTTACAGGCAGTGTGAGCTGTCCAATGTGGACACTAGGAACTGAAGCCCTGTCCTCTAAAAAAGCAGCAAGTGCTCTTAATCATTGAGCCATCTTTCCAATCCCTAGATAATCTGTTTCTATAAATGAACTTTATGATGCACAAGATGTAATGAAGTGGTACTACAATTTGACAGTTCTGTTTATACACATAAATTAGTGTTGTTCTTACCTGCAATAACAAAGTAGCAGAGCCAAAAATCCAATGACAATGACAATCGTTCCTCCTAATATGGCTGTAAGGAACACTGTATGGTAAGCAGTCATGTCTTTGGAATCTTCATTCATACCTGAACCTGCGTGGTTAAATAGAAGTAAATAAAATAGAACATATTATTTTAGGTCCAATTTTTAGCTCTGCCATGTTCTGGATGAGGTAGAGTGAGATGTGTGCTCACTTCTATTGGTTTGCTTCCTTCCTGTAACAGATGTCTCTGTGAGTGAAGCACATCTTTCTTCCCTACCCTTTAGGATTAATCAACTGACTTGCTTCCACCAATGAATTGTGAACACGGGAAATGAGGTTGTATGATGTGGCTCAGCCTTCTCACTAAAGCACTCTAAGATGTGAATGGTATAGTCCAGAAAAATCAGTATTCCTTCAATCTGAGTTCTGAAATAAGAAAATATGTTGAACTGAACCACGCCAAGCCCAGCAGCAGAGCATCCAACCAAAAGCATTCATATACTGTAAAGTGTAAATGTTTGTCACTGTTAGCCACTGAAATGGCATGGCTGTTTACTACATGGCAGCTCACTCTTACAGAACTGGTGTCTGGGTACTGAGATGCTGCTATCAAAATATGTGGCCCCGGCTTCCAGGTCAGTCAGTGAACAGTAAGGAAACTTTCAGGAAGGATTAAAAATAAAAGGAGAACTCAAACTATGCAGTAAAAAAGGACTTGGAGAAATAAGCTAACAGAAATATCTCTATTTGACATTCATACAAAGAGGTTTTGAAATAGACTATTGGTAACAAATACTGATTTTTGGTGTGTTTGATGTGAAGAGAAGCTGTAAAAAATAATTCAAAAAAGAATTTCCCAATGCAAGCATTTGATGTAAAGATTAGAGAACCCTTGAACTTTCTCACAAGAAGACACTATGATTCTGGGCAAGCTGAGACCAGTAAAGGCACAGAAGATTCACCATCCGGTTCTGAGAGCACTTACACACCCGTGAATGGTGTTGTGATGAGCTAAATCATGGGAAGAGCTGGCTAATGCCACAGGATGCCACCGCCCACCATAAAGATTCTGCATAAATATGAACACTATCAGCAAATCTTTTTGACTCTGCTTCAACACTGCTAAGATTTCATTTTCCTTAGAAAAGTATACAATAAACCTAGTTGTCACCTTCAACTAGATTCCAGTATGTATTCGGGGTGACAGGGTGAGAAGAGTGATAACAAACTGGTTTTCTGCTAACCTGTGCCATGAGGAAATGTCCAGAATAATGGCTCTAATGGCACTAAGGACAGCAGAAGAACTGAGGGAGTCCCTGGTCATTAAGTCCCAGTACTCAGGAGGCAGAGGCAGGAGGATCTCTGTGAGATTGAGGCCAGTTTGGTTTACATAGAGAGCTCCAGGCCAGCCTGGGGTACAGGTAGACTGTCTCAAAAGACCAAAAATAAAAAATAATGGTATCATCTGATTTAATAAATATAAAGTGGTGATAATTTGGAGAAGCAGTAGACTGACCTTGAAGCTGAGTGTCTAACTGGCTCCTGTTTTTTTTTTTTTTTTCATTTTTAAGTTGTCTTGAACAGGTTTTATTCATTTGTATCTCAGTTCCCCATTCTATAAAGCAAAAATGATTAAAGCCATCCCTAACCCATGTTGAATTATTGCAGGTTAAGAATGTATACTTAAGAAACACTGAGAAGAGAGTTGGCCTATGCTGAGTACTTGGTTAGCTGTAAGAAACCACTATGGGTACTGAATGAAGCCTTGAGGTTATATTTTGAGTACCTAATACAAACCACTGTTTCACAAATGGTGACTGATAATAAAGTATGTATCATATTTAAAAGGAAAAGAAGTACAACAATGCAAATATAAAATTTAAACAAAAGAGATTTAAACCTGTCGATACTATCTACAGAGTCTTATGTGGCACCGAGAGCTATAATCAGGTAAAATTTTATTGTAAATTAGGGACTGTGACACATATGAAAATATATACATACATGTATGTCTAGGCATATATATGTATGTTTATGTGCACATACATAACACAAAGTCTCTGCCTGTCTCAAGTTCCTGACAGAGTCCTTAAAGCCCATGAAATGTTCTAGGTGATAGGAGTATCTCTAGTTGAGATCAAGCAACTCTTGGTGGGCTTCTGATGGGCCTGGTCATGATTAGAAGGTTGGAACCTTCAGCCCTATTCTCACCAGGTTCCAGAGAGAGAGTAGAGGGGTTAGAAACTAAGTTAATAATGGGTTGTGCCTATTTTTTGAAGCCTCCATAAAATCCTGGCAATATGGGGTCTGCAGAGTTTCCAAGTAGGGGAACATATCCATGAGTCAGCAAGGCAGTGCACACTCTGAGGACAGAGGCCCTGCACTTAGGTTCTTATAATCCTCCCAGTACTGCTTCACGTGGATCATCTGCATCCTTCTTTCATACCCTTTATACTAAACCAATGTGTTTCCCTGAGCTCAGTCAGCTGGCATAGCAAATGATCAAACCTTAAAAGGGAGATCATGGGAACTCTCAATGTGAAGCCACATCAGTCAGAGTATAAATGCTCTGCTACTTGCAACTAATCCCATGGTACTGCCCATGGCACCTGAGGCTAACTCCAGGTAAACAGTAGAGTTGAATGGAACTGTAGGGCATGTAACCAGTGCTCACTAAGAACTGGAGAACTAGCTGATGTAAGCAAAACCCCACAAAGTCAGAAGTATTCTGTGGTAGGGCTACAGAGATGGCTCAGCGGTTAAGAACACTGACTGTTCTTGCAGAAGACCTACATTCAAATCCCAGCACCCACATGGAAGCTAACAACTGTCCCTAACTCCAGTTCCAGGGGATCCAACAGCCTCTTCTGTCCTCCTCAGGCATTGCACAACATGGGTGCACTTACCTACATACACTCATACACATAAAATAAAAAAATAAATAAAATATTTTTAAGTAGTATTCTGTGGTGAACATAAAGGAAGTGTTTTTTTTTCTTTCTCATTATGTTTATTACCCTTAAGATTCATATTTTGAAGTTCCAGTCCCCAATATAACAATATTTGGAGAAGGAGCCTACACGGATCTAATACAGGAATGGTGAAGTCCTAAGAGCAGCGTCCAAATAGGACTAAGGTCACTGTAAGAAGAGGCAGAGCTGGTACAGCTTTCTCTCTACATGTGCAGGAAAGTCTACATGAGGTCACTCAAGAAGATCACTATCTACAGGCATGACGAGAGCCTGAGCAGACTAATTCAATAACTAACTCCTCCTGGCTTAAAATTAAGAAAGTTAACACTCAGATAAGTAATACCTACATGAAGCTCACCTACTGTGACCAAGTAGAGCTCCTAGCAAGATATCCAGACTTCTTAGAAGCATACCACCACTCTGACTGTAATATGCTTGCAGAATAGTTTTTTTTTTTGAGCATCACTAAAAGTTTTCTAATTCAAATTAAATGATAATCCCACAGTTCTAGTTTAAAACTCTGGACCACACACAGCCTTTTCCAACAGATAAGCTAGAACAGAATTCTTATTTTAGAAAATAATTTTAGTATTTGTAATTCATGAAGTCATCTTATATAAGTTGCTTTTTTGGGTATATTCTTAAGGGAAGTATACTTCTCTATTAAATTCAAAGTTTCCTTTGGTTATTTTTATAATATAAAAGAACAGAATAACTTATATTTAGTCTAAACCTTAAATTAAATATTAATTGTTGTTTTCATCAATATTTCATGAGGATAATACCAGCCAGCTGGCAAGACTACTATTCTGCGTGCTGTAGAACAAAGGGAAGTGCTGTCTCATTACCGAATAAATAATCTTGCAAGCACTGAGTTCAAATAAAAACAGAAAAGAAAAGCCTTCTTGATCACATATGGCTCCTATTTCTCCTGCTGGAATACTAAATTTTAATTTCATTTTTGAAAGGTTTTGTTACCAAAAAAAAGCGTGGTTCAAAATTCAAATGTTGCCAATGTTAAATGAAAATAAAATCAATCAGGACTAGAATAACCTTTTTGTCAGGAAAAAAAATCTGAGAGTCTTCAAAGTAATGCTTAAAGCAATGTTTATAATAATCCTCTATAACCTCATGTAAAATGTTCATCCAGAACCTTAGTCAGAGCAGGAAATAACCAGCATGAACTAGGTGACAGCTGCCTCTCAGGGGAAGCCTAAACAGAGACCTGGAGACTCATCTCTGTTTCAGAACTGAAGACGCAGGAATGGTATACGCTACGACTTTCAATCAGTCTTTACCAACAAAACGCTCAAAGTTTTGCTTCATTTACTTTCTGTGGGCATGCATACTGACAAAGAAAAAGAAAGAAGAGACAGACAACCCCTACAAATGCTGAAAGCTAGAAAGCTGACTTAGCAAAACTGGTGGTAAGTCCGAGAGGAGGGGAGCTTAAAGCCAAAGACCTGGAGAGGGAGGGCAGGTGACAGCGCCCAGCTAGCCTCAGGTATGTGAGAATCTTCCTCTATCTGTGAAGCTATTATGACAAAATACGCAGTGTTACATGAAATTCTTGAGAAATTTACCAAATGAGGTGAATGTGAGACTTTCTTAGCTTCAGGTTCCCTGAATAACTGGATACCCTGTCAAATCTAAGACAATGAAATGCTTTCTTCCAGATCACACGTAGACTGTACACAGTGCAGATTTCTTGGTGTGTGGCCACCAGCTCCCATAGACCTTCTGTTCAAGACGTCAGATCAGTTTTCATTTCATGGGCCACCTATCTGCCCTTAGGAAACAGTCCGGAAACACTTCTGTAAGAGCCCTTCCTCCCAGGTCCTCATCAAGAGATGTGCTCATGACCCAAGAGTAGGTAAACCAGACTCCTCCTCACTAGAAAGAGGGAAGACTGGAAAGTGCTGAGTCAGCAGCAGTGGCAGTCGATGAAGACAGCTAAGCAGGCCTCTGACCAGGCCTCTGGAGCTGCAGAGACGGCCACCTTCAACAGAGTCTTCAGCCTTCCCTTTCCTTCAGTCTCTGAACTCCACATTTATTTTTCACCTTTTTTATTTCTTGTTTTTTTTTTTTTTTTTTTTTTCGTCTTTTTGAGACAGTGTCTCCCTGCAGCCCAGGGTGGCCTGGAATTCACTATATGGACCAGGCTTGCCTTGATCTCACAGAGATCCACCTGCCTCTGCTGGGATTAAAAGCATGTGCCACCACGGCTGGCTATTTTTCACCATTTTTTAAAAAATATTTTATTTATTATTTTTCTTTTATGTGTATGCGTGTATTGCCTGCATGTAGGTAAGTGCACCCGTGTCGTGCAATGCCCACGGATAACAGAAGAGGCAGTCAGATCCCCTGGAACTGGAGCTACAGACAGTTGTTAGCTGCCATGTGGGTACTGGGATGTGAACCCGGGTCTTCTGCAAGAACAGTGTTCTTAACCGCTGAGCCATCTCTCCAGCCCCTATTTTTCACCTTTTAAAATTACCCCAAATGTCCCAGTTTCGTATAGCCAAGGACTCTAAGTAAGCAATGTAAAATGTGTTCATGAAAAAAGTAAACTAATAAAGTACTTGAACAAACTTCATTCTTCACAACTTTATCAGACATTACAGGATAAGAGACTTAGAGGTCATGGAGCTTAATCTTTTTGTCTTGTGAATAAGAAAAGAAAAAACTGACATTGAGGGTAGGTCAGGGCCTTTGTCAGTGTCACACACCTGGTAAATGGCAATGCTAGAGTAAATTAGAGGACAGCTAATATCAACTCCAGCATGCTATATAAATTATTCGTTAAAATTACTTTGTTTCATTTCTACAGTACCTCTAGTTCCTGGAAGTGGAGCTGCGATCCAGTAGCCCAAATGTGGTGCATCGTAAGTCCAAATTAAATGACCGTTATGTTCTTTGACTATTCCCCAGCCGTGATGCACCCAAGCACCTAAAAAGGATAGTAAGTAAAAATTACCAGTTAATTACAGTTTTATGCCTTTAGAGCTAATACCTTTAGAGCTAATACCTTTAGAGCTAATAGGAGTTTGTTAGTAGTCATGTAAAGAAGACATAACTTAGGCCAGACAGGGTGGCCCATGTCTTTAATCTCAGTACTTGGGAGGCAGAGGCAAGCAGATCTCTGTGAGTCTTAGACCAGCCTGCTCTACATAGTGAGTTCCAGGCTAGTCAGCACTACAAAGTAAAACCCTGTCTCAAAAAAACCAAAAACAAGTCAGAGAGATTGCTCAATGATTAAAAGAACTAGCTACTCTTGCAGACGACCTGGGTTCAGTTGCCAGTATAAAATGGTGGCAAACAACCATAACACAGGTGCACTTACATTCACGCAGGCAAAACACTCATGCACATAAAATAAATACATAAATAAGAAAACTTTAAATAATACAGAACTTTGTAAAAGTTATGAATACTATGTTAAATATCTAGAACAATACATATCAAATATTGCATCATATTTATAATATAGTACATATGCAACAGCATAATATGAATGATTTATGATGACCAAAGGAGATTAAATCATTATAGAGAAACTAAGTGAGCTGTTCAACTTATGTACACTGAGGGGGAACAAGGGAAGATTAAAATCTAATTCATCAATAGATGGCTATTTGTCACTTGTCCTGGGATTGTGATTAAACACTTACACTTTATGTTCTATGGCCTTATTAATTTATTAAATATTGTTTCAATATTTAATAGATAAAGTTTTTCCAGAACTATTCATTTTCCCCTCAAGCCTCAATCTTTCAGCATAATCAGACTGAACAAGAAGTTTTCATTCGAGGTATCAGAAATTAAAGCAATTCATCACAGCTATAAAAAACCAAAAATTCAACCATTTTCAGCAATGTGGATCAAACAGTTGTGAATACTGTTGAGAGAAACTCAAAATGATGGAATCAGTCAATCTATTGTTTTTAATTGGTTTCATTAAACATTACATACAATAATTCAAAAAGCTTTATTTTTTTATTTTAACATTTTTATTGTGTGTATGAGAGAGATATAGGGGCTGTGCACGTGCGTGGTGCACATACGGAGGTCAGAGAGCAATTCATTAAAGTTTGCGCTTTCCTTACACCTGGTCATGTGTTCCAAGGATCCAACTCGGGTTACCAGGCTTGTGCAGTAAGTGCCTTTACCTGCTGTTCATCTTAACAGCCCTCAATTCAAAAATTTAATCACTGAAAGGAACATTAGAGACAAAGATCTTTGCCAGGAAGAATGATCAGAAGGCAGAATTCTAACATCACGTTCTTAAAGTTCTTTGAAATGAGAGCAACTCGCTCAAAAGCTTGGGAAACCAAGGCCCAAATCACTTAATGACTTGTCGCACAAGGTGCTACCAGTTAGAGGACTAAATACAAACCTCAGCAAGCTTCATCTAAGATTTCCAATGACAGACTGTCACTGTTATTTGCATAGTTTTCACTAATTTTTTTTTTTTTTTTTTTTTTTTTTTTTTTTTTTGGTCTTTTTGAGCCAGGGTCTCCCTGTAGCTCCAGCTGGCCTGGAACTCGTTATGTAGATCAGACTGGCCTTGTACTCACAAAGATCTGCCTGCCTCTGCCTCCCAAGTGCTGGGACTAAATGCATGCACCACCACATCCAGCAGTTTTCACTAATCTTAATAACATGGCTATATCATTGCTTATCTTGCACAGTGAACATTTGTGTGGGTTTTGGCCTTAACATCGAACCTTCCATCTCCAGTGTCATCCCGCTGCAAATCTCCCTTGAGTTCCATCTGCTACCTACCTGTTCTCAGTTGATAAGATGAGTTTGGGGTTCAATCCCACCTGAACCTATGAACTAAACCTATTAAATATATATATTCTTCTTGCACAAACTCTACAACATGGTGCATCAAAAGGCTTCTGCTGTGGTTATCACACAAAGCATGACTTTTCTGGATAAGTGTAAAGTTAGGAGCTAGAGCACCAACAGCCCTCTTCTGGGCTCACTGAAACCCTTAGAAAGGTGCTGACTTAGAGGAAATGGGGAGAAAACAGATAAAGCAAGGCCTGAGAAACTGGCTTAGCTCTGTCACAGACTTTGCCCAAGGCCCTTCTGCAGGCTCATTACCCCAGTACCTTTATTACATATTTACTTTTAGTAAATTACACTACAAGCTTATTTGCATGAGAACAAGAACAAATCTAAAAAACTGCAAAGGAAAAAAGTGCTTCCCAGTTGTCGGTTAGGAAGCAAAATGTAGTGAACAAAGTTGATTCCTAAAGTTTGGGGGAAATAATCACTCTTCCTGTCTTTTAACATCATTTACTGTCATGCTATTAACATAAATTTCTTGACTATCTTAACGAAGGTTTTAGATAAACTAGTATTGTCTACTAAAAAATTCCTTCAGGAACCTTAATCTTAAATGGTTTTTGCCTTTAAATATTGGAGGAAGACAATAGGAGTGAATAATGTTGGTATGCATTTGTTTGTTTAGACATATTGTATATGAGGTGGGATGAACCACCCACTGTGGCTGGCACCATTCCCCAGCCTGGGTTTTAGTATAAAAAGGAAAAAGTGAGCTGAACAAAAGTATTTATCACTCTCTGCTTCTTGACTGTGGGTGAAATTCAAGCAGCTGCCTCAAGTTCCTGTTTCTGTGACTTCTCTACCATGATGGACTATTACCTTGACCTGTGGGCCAAAATAAACCCTTTCTCCCTTAAATTGTTTTTGTCAGAGTATTTTATCACAGCAATGGGAAAAATAGCCAAGACAATGTATTAGCATCATTTCCATACATATATGTATCTGTCTATATGTATGTATGTGCATATGTATGTATATATCAATGAGACCAAGTATGGTCCTTAACAAAGTACACAAAATTGTAATGCTACTGTAAACCTAGATGTGTATCAAATTTTAAGATGAAACACCCAAATATTTAAAAGAAAAATATTCTCACTGTTTTCATTTAGTGCATACCTATGTTCATATCAAATGTCCAAGCAGGAATGCGATCTCCCATGTTTATATCATTTGTAGACAGAAGGGGGAGAGAAACATGAATGGCACCATCCACCTTTAATTCTTTTCCTCCAGAATAGATTTTCACACATATTGCAGCAAGAGGAGTCAATTCAATATTTTCCAAACCTAAGGAAGGATATAGTTTATTAAAATCATATACAGAGGGTTCATTTATATAATAAATTGTTTGGGCTCTACAATGTCTTTTACCCTATTTCACCACTGTCATCCATTCTAATAAATAATACCTGTATATTCAGGATTTTAAAACTATGATTTCAAGATAGTTCATAAATAAACAGAGACTATACAATGTAACACTGACAAATTAGAAAAAACAAGCTATCTAATTCAGACTCATTGGTTTTAAGGACACTGGATCCAATTGAATGTTTTTAAAAATCTAACCCTAGGCCAGTGAGATGGCTATGCAAGTAAAGGCACTTGCTCCACAATTCTGATGGCTGAGTTTGATCCCTGAAACTCACATAAAGCTAGAATGAGAGCCCCAGTTCCCTAAAAGTTGTCCTCTGATCTCTGCACATACGCTGTGGTGCCATGCATTGGTGCACACACACATATATACACACACACAGGTACCAAGCGTTGGCATACACACACACACACACACACACACACACACACATACCAGTAATAAATAAATAAATAATTTTTTAAAAACACTAACCCCTAAACCCAAACTGTAACTCTCACAAAAGGGCACTTTTAGACACACAGGGTTCTAAAATCACATAATCCAATAAAGTGGTCGCCAGCTGCAAGTGGCCACTTAAATTAAATCCAGATCATTGGTATACTGGTCACATTTCAAGCTCAGGTGTGACCAGCACCAGGCTGGGCAGAGCACAGCATTCCTCTTCCTAAGAGGTAGCACTGTTCTAGAACTTTTCACATGGCAGCAACATTCTTCTAAGATTCAGAGCATTTAAAGTCGATAGTAAAGGAACACTGGAAAACAGAGCTCACTGGGAGCCCTGTCCAAGTTTCATGAGCTTTGTCTACATATGCCCTCCAGTTCATCATGAGCTCATGTGTGATGGCCTATGTTTGTACCATTCCTGTAAATGCCTTTATTTTGAGCATCTTCTTACATCGGGAATAGTCTTGTCAGATGTCTTAGACTGGCTTCCTTAAGAAGCAGACTTTGAGATGATTTGAGCAGCAGACAACTAGGGAAGTAATCCCAGAAAGCAACCACTATGAAGTGTACACCACACAGAAGGAAGGAGCCAATACAGGACTCAGAAATGATGGGTTATCACTGAAACAAAACCAGCTCAGTCCCACAGGGGCAGAAGCTGGCTGGAAATTATCTCAGCCAAAGCAAGAGAATGGGAGTATTTAAGTGTCAACTCTTGTCTGCTCCACGTGAGGACACAGCCTGCTTCCAAGACCAGGGGATGTCCTCAGGCAGTGATTTATGTGTGCTGTAGGAAACAGGCTTGTAACAGAACAGTGAGTATCTCTGGGTGGGACACTGGTAGCACCGGTTATAGAAGGTTTTAAAAAAATCGTATTCTCTCTTGTTATTCTCTTTTCTGGGTGTATCTATATGAAACAAATAAAAAATATGACACAACTGCAATCATCACAATTGTAGATTACATGTAGTAATTTTAAACAGTGGCATTTCAGTTCCATTTGCAATAAGAAATAGAAATAGTGGGACAAATGGAGATGTATTTTCAAAATAAATCAAAATTCCATCCATCCCTTAACTTTTAAATCATGAAAGCCTAACATTAAAGCTATTGATTCTGGAAAAGATAACTTTTTAATACTTACTTATAGCTAGTACATATCAAAACAAAATTATAATTGCTCACTCAAATATATAAATATGATAAATGTATCTCACCAGGCAGTTAAACAGTATACTATCTCAGGCTATTTAACTGACATTTCTCACAAGTGTGATAAGATTGCATAAATTTGACAAGATCTCAAACTGGGAAAAGATAAGTATTAATACCTTTACACCAAAGTTTCTAAATGTATTATTTTGCCAAGTTTTACAATAGTCACAACTATTTCCTATAATTTACTTACTTGCTTTGATTCAAATGAAATTTAATAGATTAAAATGAAAGAAAAATTTTTATTAACTTAAAATAATGCATGTCAAAGACTGGATAAAAGGAATTTGCTTATGAACAGGTTAGTAACTAGACATTTCAAAAACAACACATATTTTACAAAGCTTAAATGAAAATCGCATCTCTAGAAACTATGTAAGTATATAAATAAATATTATTTGATAGAAAATATATGTTGATGTTTCTTAGAAACATGGTTACATATGTAAAAAATAGGAAATACCTGGTTTGTTAAGAGTGATTCCAGTCGTGTATAGAAAATTTTCCACTTTCAAAAACTGCTGTAGAACAGTCAGATAGCCAGTCACATTGCTAATATGATGGTTGTTGGGAAGTTTAATGAAGGCTTTCGAAAACTGAACACTTGGTTGAGATTTGGCATCTGGGAAAGGGAAATCCCATTAACAAATGAACAACAACAAATATATATATACATATATATATATATATGCCATCATTGGTCAGAACATTTCACTTTAAAGAAAGTGGTTATAGTGGTTTGTAAATGTCATTACTATCTCCTATTATTATTTTAAATTCAGAACTAAGAAACATCTAGATCACACAAAGTGGTCTGGACTGTGTGACTACTACACAGAGCTCTTCCACCCTTTTTCCAATCTCACTTTAGGGAGCCACACACTGACTACCCTCAGCCCACGTGGTTCACTGGGATTTCTTCTGTAACAGGAGTGGTGTTGATGGTGCATATCAGAATGGGCCAAGATCAATCAAAGCATCTCGTTATTCTCTGTCCAAAGTGACATGCTCAATAACAGGCCTGGTCCCAAGCACAGTTAATGAGATGTAATATGAGTTTTGCCTGGACGTGGGGTAGTAAGCTTGTTTTGCCTCTCACAGGGTCCCATCTTGTGAACAAAATTGACAGCATGTTTGAAAGTGGAGGCAATATTCAAAGAGTAGAGAAATGGAGTGAAGGAAAACTATTTTTCAAATATTTCAACTTAAGCCCTTCAGGTTAACTCATGTCTAAAGCTGATGCTGCATTTTAAAAGATGAAAGCTCCTCTGGGCTCTGCTAGTTTGGGATGGGATTTTAGCTACTTGCATAAGAACTCCCTTTCATGACACAGCCACACACTGAAGTGGATAGGTTTCACCATCAGATAGCAGCTCATGAATTGTAAAAAATCTTCCAAACTCTAGATCCTTGACATAAAAGTATCTCACTTCAGTGATACTGAATTGGCTACCTTCTAGCAATTATTAAATGAGAACTCAGTGACAAAACTGGTATTTCTATAATTAACACAACTTAATGAGCCAAGGATCAGTTCTAAAATCAAAACTGTAAATGATCAACTATATTACCTTTGGCCTTGGACTTTAATAAGATCATTGATAAAAGCAGAAGAAATCATTTAAATTATTAGGATGAAAAAACTATCAAATTTTAATTTGAGTAGTGTGATAATAAAAGAATAATGTAAGGCAATTCTCAAAATCAATTTCTAGAGTGTTTTGCGTAAAAGCAGAATAATAATACCTGTAAAACACTGGAGTACAAACAACACAATTATAGTATATATTATTATTTGGTTAAGGTATTTGAGGAGCCAGGCGTGGTGGCACAGGCCTTCAATCCTAGCATTCAAGAGGCAGAGGCGGGTGGATCTCTATGAGATCAAGGTCAACATGGTCTACATAATAGCTGGAGCTACAGGAAGATCCTGCCTTAAAAAACAACAAAAATATATTTAAGGAAATAATCTGGTACCTTTAGATCACTTAAAAATATTATCTATAACATTCTTTTCTAAACTATGTGACCTTGAGACTAGAGAAATGACTTAGCTGTTAAGAGCACTGGCTATTCTTGCAGAGGAACTAGGTTTGGTTCCCAACTACCATATGGTGGTTCACAAGCATCTATAACTCTAGTTCCAGGAGATCTGATGCCCTCTTAGAGCCTCCCCAGGCATTGCACACTTGGATGCACTTACATACATGCAGACAAAGCACTCATAAACATAAAAGTAAAAAAAATGAAATATGTGACTTTTATACATGAAGATATCATGATGAGATTCATTATTTTTGCTAACCTAAAAATTAATTTTAAAAACATGTGGCCTAATTATGTTGCAGATACAAATTTCTTATAAATGAAAATATGCATTCTCTGTAAATTATCTAGCTGAGTTTCTGTAAAGTTTAGTATATGCCTAAAGTTTCCAATTTCTTCTACGCACAAATATATTTACATATGCCGAACACACTTCCATTATACAAATCAAACATTTCATTAGCACTAAAAAGTAAAGAAGTACTTTATGAAAAGTTTTAACAACCTCAGAAACATCCATTCTTTCTATGCTCCAACCCAATGGTGACCTCTCAGGGAAAGAAGGCAGTAAAAAGACAAGATCTGAGAATTCACAAGGGTTCACAGTGTGCTCAAGGACTGGCAGGGGCAGACCTTCTATCCAGACAAATGAGCTCTATTCTTTCTAGGTATAGCGGCAAAGGAGAAAGGACATGTTCAGTCCAGTCCACGTATGCGCATAGCGGCAGAAACCATAATTTTTAATGGGGTTTGAAGACGCCAGTAAGAGGCAAGCACTTATCAAAAGGAGACCAAATAAATACACAAAAACACTAAGGTGGAGCTACAGCCATCCTGGTTTCATTAATGCCTCAGCAGCATAAAACTCAGCCCCTCTGTAGCCATGTGGCCTATTTACTTTCTGGACTCCATACACAAGTCCATACCACATTCTGCCACAAGTCAGCAAAATTAGTAGCAAATGCTTTGACATCTAGGGAAAAAGGGTCTACAGCCTCACTCCATAAGTCCCTTCAGGAATAGTCAAGCCCAAGTTCAAATACTGAATTCAATAGTATTAGGTTTTCTTATTTGATGCTTTCAAAATACGAAAGCTTCTCAATAGGAACCTTCACAAACTGATCCAGTCATGCCTGTCTTGATTGTCTCTCTCATGAAGATTTTCTGCCTTTTCAGTCATTTCTATCATATGTCAGAGCTAAATGTTAATTCACCAATACAAATCAAATTAACAATTGAAATTTACAAAGGCATTATGTAGTATATATCAAAAAAGTAGCAGAGTATCTGAGTTCCTTCTGAGCACCAATTAAGGGACATAGGAGGTAAGGTAAAACTGTCATCTTTACAGTCTGTAAAGCAGAGAGCCTGAATCAGTACCCCAGAGCCACATTTTCTGCATTCTTTCCCATGGGATATCAGTACCACAAATTGAGGATGCTACAAGATTCTGAACACTCCAACCACAGGAGCAAATAACCCACATCCGCAGCAAAATTCACCCAGGCGGCATGGTGGAAACACTTGCATTTCGAGAGCCCAAAGGTCTAGGTGAAACGTGTTCTGTCCTTGTCCCTAGTTCACCAGTCACAAAAGCCTGGTGAGGGATGCACATAAAGAGGGCAGACAGCTCTTTCTACCGTTTCCTCTAGTCAAATATTTCCTATTTGGGATGGGAATTGGGGACTAAAACGGTTAAAGAGGAAATTATTTCCAATACACAGATACTTTAAATGCACATGGTGAACACACTTCTATTATACAAACCAAACATTTCATTAGTATTAAAAAGTAAAGAAGTACTTTATGAAAAGTTTTAACAACCTCAGAAACATCTATTCTTTCTATGCTCCTACCCAGTGTGTATTAGTCCCCAATACACAGATACATAATATAATGTATAACAATATAATATATACTAATTTGATATAATGTATAATTATACATTATAGCATATAACATATAATATGTAATGAGGATAATAAATAGAATATAAAATAATATAATATAGTAAGATAAGAATGTTTCAATGAACGTACTGTTAATTCTAATCATTACTGATCAATTTAGACCTTTCCCAAATTACAATCAACACTGACTTATGTAACGGCCACTTTAAGAGCTTCCTTAATAAGGATGCACTGTACTTACCAGTTAATTTTCCAGTAATCAAAACAGTGTCTTCAAAGAGCCATATATTTGCTTGGCTTTGTGGTAGCAGTGACAGTGTAACTGATGAATATACTGTAAAATACAGACAGCATAATTGAAATATTAAATGGGAGAGAACCGGGACAGATACAGTTCTATTATACTATGCCTCAAAGATTTTCCAAGCAATTTAAAACAAAGGAAGAAGGAATATATGCTGGAGAAAGAAGAAAACATAATAAATTAAGATAAAAACCACTGGGCATCATTATTTTACTGATCTTTTCTATTTCAAATAGGTTTTAATGGATGATTAACAAGGTTTTGTAACTCAGAACAAACATAAATGAACAAATTAGGTGCTTGAATAATTCTGCTTTATCTGTTAAACTGTTTCTTGTTATTTAGTTCTTGGAAAATTTAAATTTTTATTTATTATTATGTGATTGTGTGTACAGATGATGTGTGAGTGTAGATGCCACATGCCATGGCACTTAAGTAAAGACCAGAGGACAACTCTGTGGAGCTGGTTCTCTCCTTCAACCATGGGTTCATGGGAATTGATCTCAGGTCATCAGGCATAGCAGCAAGCACTTTTTCATGTTGAGGCAATCTGTCAGCCTAAGTCTCAGAAACTTTTAAAATTATTTTCTTGGAAGTCAGTGAAATGGCTCGGTGAGTAAGGGAGCTTGCCACTAAGGCTGACAACTTGAGTTCCATCCCTAGAACCCACACAGTGGGAGGAGAGAAGTGACTCCCACAAGTTGTCCTTTAAGCTCCACACATGCTTCATGGGAGGTGTACGTGCACGCGCGCGCGCGCGCACACACACACACACACACACACACCACATATGAGCACACATACACACACATTCATGCGTGCATGTATGATCACACATACATGTAAATAAAATGTGCTAAAACTTTTTTAAATGACTTTCTTGTCTCCAGGATGCACAGTTATTGAGATAAGACTTATACATATTCTTCACTTTTAATTTCTACCTAAAAGCACAAAGCTCTTCTGTGAACAGAGTGGCTTACCAAATGCATTCAGAGTTAGCAGGGGAGGAAATAATTTAGCACAAAGAAGTGACTCACAGGCAACCTTTAGTATTTAGTAGTAACAAAGGATGTTGCTGAATCTGCCTGTAGGAGTAGGCACGTGATGTCATCATCCTGTGATAGTGTAGATCACCTAAGGTATGATTCAATGACTTCAAAGTTGGTGTCAAGAAGCCGTGACTAAAGAGTGTTTTATAAGCAAGGACAAATCAAACTTACCCAATCCTGCAGAAAAATAACTTTCAAGGAGTGATCAAAAGCACAAGTTCTTTGGTAACTCTCTTCTGTACTAGGTAAATATTTTAAATAAACAGAAATAACATGGTATCCTCAAATCTTAGAAATAAAACATTGTCTACCCTTTGGCCATTTGTAGAGTACTTTTAGTATTTTGAGATTTTTTTAAAACTTTAAAGGAAATGGTAAAAAAAGGTAAAACAAAAAAGTATACAGTGTGGGATGGTGGTAAAATGAAAACTATTTTTTGTCCTTCTGAAGGAAAGGACTTATCAAAGAAAGTATAATTCAGTTTCATAATACATTAACTCTTGGCAGATAACAGATTCATTAAATGGAGAAAGAGGTGTGAGGATCACATATAATAGCAATAAGCAGAGGCTATTCTATATTTGAGTATTTTTTCAGTCATACATAGTTAGTTCAAAAGGAACGGCCCAGACAACATTTTAAGGCCACAAGACATGAGAAGAAATCATTTTGAACTACATTAAAATCTGTGATAATTTTTTTTAACTTTTAAAAAATCTTTACTGAGAATGCATATAATGTGTTTTGGTCATATCCATGCCCACTCCTTCCCCTCCAACACCTCCCATATCTCCCCATCACTTTTTTCTGACAACTCTGTGATACATTTTTTTAACTTAAATGTTTTCTTACTACAAAAGAGATTTAGTATCAACTATGAAAAGTTGAGGAATAAAGGAAAGAATAAGAAAACAATAGCCATTTCACAGAGGCAATCATTAATAATGTATCTTTTAAATTGTATTTGTATGTGTTTGTGGGTGTACATGTGCATGGTATGCACACACATGTGCACACATAGAAGTGGAAGACAGAAATTGATATGTGTCTTCCTCAATCACTTCTCCACCTTATTTTCTGTGACAGAGTCTCTTGCTGAACCTGGAGCTCACTGCTTAGGCTAGACTGTGGCCAGTGAGCCCCCAGGGACCCTCCTGCCTTTGCCACCCCAGCTCTGGGATAATAGGTGTGCACCACCACACCTAGGTTTTACATGGGTTCTGGGGATCGAACTTGGTCCTCAGGCTTGCATGGCAAGCACTTTACCTACTGAGCTATTTCCCCAACCCCTCGTTGATGCTGTTTTGATATAACTGTTCATTTTTCCTGCAATTTTTAGAAGTATGACAGTGAGTTCAGAATATGTTTAGTTTAGTATGTTTACACAGATTTTTACATTTAATAACATGAGTGTTTCTGCCACCTCTCTAAAGAAATTTCTCATAACATCTTTATTTAAAGTCACACATTTCATTTGTTAAAGTATAAGATTTACTTAAAACTTCACTAATAGATTCAGATCATTTCTGCGTCGCTATTTCAAAAATATTGGAGCCCACATCCTGGTGCAAAAATGAAATGTCTATCCATTTTATTTGTATGTTTATTTTCAGGAGATATTGCTAGCAGTGGAACAGTGGTGTGGTTTATAAAGCTCTTGAAGGCTTTCACACATTTATTTTAAAGTCATCACCCAAATCGAATGCTTCCTCCAGTTTCTACTCCCATTGAAATGACTGAATGCTGATCCCACCTTGCCGTGTCCACACCAACAACAACCACCTTTGTCAAACATCCCTGAAGTGAAAATATCTGAGAGGCAGCATGTATTGCTTCAGTGAACAGACTTAGATTACCATGAAGATAAAGTGTGCTGCGTCCTTTCCTGGTCAGCCATTTCTGTTTCTACCATTCTATACCAAATATCTATTTAAATAGGTATTTGGAATTTTCTTACTAATTTGTGTGAATATTTTGCATACTAGAGACACTACCCTTATTTTAAAGAGTTTACTTTTAGCATCAGTTGCTTTTTATTTTTTCTTAATATTGGGATCTTCTCTTTCTTAAATACGATCACATCTACTTTTATGGCATCTTTCATTGTTTCTAAGTTTAAATAGACTACCCAAATTCAGCGAGCAGATGGTGTGTTTTCTTATTGTTCAATTTTCCATATTTTAGCACATGTATCCAATTAATATATTCTAAGTCAACCAAATTGTCTCAACACCATCAATATTGAATACTCAGCCTTTACTTAACTGATTACTGACACAGAATACATTTTCATACATACTAAGTGTCCAGTTCATATTACAGAACAAAGTGTAGTACAATGAACTCAGCCTTAGGTTTGCAGCTATGCCTGTGTATAAATTTTATTCACATCACAAATTACTCTAGTAAACCCTATTTTTTTAATTCCTCAGTATCTTTACATATCTATTCTTTAAAAATTATTTTTGCAACATTTAATACATTGTCTATTAATTAATTTCAGAAGAATTTAACTCTTTGCAATATTAAAGCTTCCTAAAAAGAACTCATGTTTTCCAGTTATTAGGGATTTTTTATTTTTTTAATTTAAATTTAATATTTGAGGAGTTTTTGTTGCATTTGATTTGTTAGTCATATTTGGTAGTTTTAGTCCTGTTGTTGTTTTTCTGAGATAGGGTCTCACTATGTAGCCCTGGCTGGCCTATAGTTTGTCTCTTTTTTAAAATTATAATTATTATTTTATGTGTATGAGGGTTTTGCCTGCAAGTATGTAAGTGTAGCCATGTCATGCAATGCCTGCAGAGATCAGAAGAGGAGGTTGGATTCCCTGGAACTGGAGTTACAGAAAGTTGTGAGCCAACATGTGGGTGCTGGGAATTGAACCCCAGTGCTCTGTAAGAATAGCCATTGCTCTTAACCACTGAGTCATCTCTCTAGTCCTGAGTTTTAGTCTCTTAATATACATCATGTTTTAACTTTTTTTGTGAACTCCTTCATATTTTGTTTGTTTCTCGCTATTCTAAGAAAGATGACTTATCATTGTGTTTCTTAACTGGCTATTGTTGCTGGTATGTAGGAAAACCAATTTGTAACAGTGCTAATTTTGAAACCAGTAATCATTGAGATTCCAATAATTTTAAGAGTCTTAAACTGGGCATGGTGGTGCACGCCTTTAATCCCAGCACTTGGAAGGCAGAGGCAGGTGGATCTTTGTGAGTTCGAGGCCAGCCTGGTCTACATAGTGAGTTCCAGGACAGCTGGGGCTACATGGAGACCCTGTCTC